TGTCTGGTTTTATATGATGTATAGTCCATAATGTGTGGATGTTTTTAAATCTTTTGCAGAAATGAGGCCTGCAGAGCTGTTCTTTCAGATGCATTTGCTTGCAAGACAGACGAAAGCTAGTTCAGACTCTTCCAGAGTTGAGTTTTGTCAGAGTCCGGAGAAGTGGGTTCTTCGAGCAATTCACACGAACCCTTCTTGTATGAGATATTGGAAGGTTTTGCAGAAGCTCGTGGAATGAGTTGCAAACGGTGAATATTGGGCATGCATTTTGTATCATGCTTTATATATAGTACGCCTCCTACTTCAGCTTAGCCTTGGTGTTTAAAATTTTTACTCAGCTAATTTTTCGTCGTTGTGCACCATATCGAGAGCTGCCTAATCCTAAATGCTCCCAGTTTTTCTGACTTTTGTACAATATGTCATCAAGCTGTCCTCAATTGTATGTAAATATGGAAAGTTTTTTGGGTAAGCTTGTTGCTACAGAGTTAGGTTAATTAAGTCATTACAGGAATAGCATCCTTTGTAGCATCAAATTAGATTTAGGAATTGTATTGATCATACTCATGCTCTACTAATACAGTTATTTTAATGATTTTTCTGAAGTAGATTGTGGCTGCTTTACCTGAAATATTTTTTTTGCAGTTATCATTAACATGAAGCATGAAGCCACAAAATAGCGTTGCATGTACTGGTTTTATATAACTTAGCCCACTGATGCAATTTTGTAATCTCGACTTTATTCGATATCTTACGTTGAAAAAATGATGTGAAAATTCACAAGCAGCACCTCCATTCTAAGCAAATGATGTTCAAACTTACTTTGCTAAGATTACAAAAATTCTAGTTTTAGTGTGGTGATTGGAAATTATGGCCTATCTTCCAAGACTGAGTGAGGTGGTTGAGTGTTGGAGCTCATCAGCATCGGATGGATCCCAGTCCAGTGTGGAGGAAAGAATCTTGGAGAGTGTGATGAAGGCTTCAGCCATGGTGGGGCGAGAGTTGATCTGAGTTGCAACGCAGCTTTTAGCCAACTGGGCCATGGAAAAAGCGAGATCCAAGGGGTACTCGCGCTTAAGAGAAGGATCCATAAAGCCTACAAGTTTGTCTCTAACATGGTCTCCTTCCAACACCCCACTTATGGACGCAGATAGTAACAACTCTTGATCATCTCCTGAACCACCATTATTAGAGGCGGGAGCGGGAGCAGCAGCTTCTCTTCCAGATAAAAGCTCCAACAAGACGACCCCAAATGCAAAGACATCTAGTTTAGGAGTAATGACCCCGTTTTGGATGTACTCTGGCGGCATATAGCCATGAGTGCCCACCACATGTCTGGTGAGTTGGAGTTGGTCTTGATTGTGATTGTGACTCTGGGAGACGAGAAGGGGTCTTGCCAAGCCAAAATTGGAAAGCTTGGCCCTCAAGCTGGCATCCAAGAGGATGTTGCTGGTCTTCAAATTGTTGTGGATACAGGGAGGGTGGGTGAAGTTGTGGAGATAGTTGAGAGCATCAGCGACGTCGTGGGCAATCTGAACCCTCTGCTTCCATGACAGTGTAGTAGGAGAATGAAGGCAGTGGGAAAGAGAGCCAGAGGGAGCATACTCGTAGACAAGGTAGGTGTGTCCCTGGTGGACGCAGAAGCCAGAGAGCCTGATGATGTTGGAGTGGTTGATCCGCTTGAGGAGGTTGATCTCGTCTCCAGACTGTGAGACATCCCCTATCACCACCTTGATGGCGGCATCGTCCCCCTCAAACGATCCTCTGAACACGGATCCTTGAATTCTGTTGGCTTCGCTGAAGAATTGGGTGGCCCTCTGCAGTTGCTCCAATTCGTAAAGGGTCAAGGACTCAACAGCATAGCCAAGCCCTCTAGAAGAAATGGTGTCGGATGAAGCTAGTGGCGAGGTTGACAAGTAGTCTGCGATCTTACCAGGTCCAGGTCCAGGTCCAGAAGAGACTTGTAGTTTGGAGTTGGGGGATTCCGTAGCCGCCGCCGATTGGTAATGTTGACGACGACGGCGGCGTAACAGGAGAAAGACCGTAATAACGAGGAGGAGGAGGCAAGCAGCTGCAACGCCGACACCCACTAAGATTGGTTTGTTGATTTTGCTGTTGTTGTTGTTGGAGTTTGGAGGTGGAGCGGCGGATGGAGGAGGAGAAGAGCGTGGTTGCAGTTGAGCAGGGGTAGGTTGGGAAGTGAGAGGGAGCAGAAGTTGGGTAAAGGGATAGATGAGGTCGTTGGAAGATAGGCGATTGGCTTGGAGCAAGGTGGGTACGTCTAAACCGAAGCGTTGGGCGATGGTAGTAAGGTCGTCTCCCCAGGTGACCAGGTAAGAGAGGAGGAACTTGACCCCAGCGGCGGTCTGGTTGGCGGTGGGGCAAGCGCACCTCAGGGGGACTTGAAGAGTGAGGCCCACCGTGAGGTTAGTGTCGCGGAAGGGGTTGTGAGCCATGAGGGCCTGGCAGGTGGTGAGGCCCTGGTAGGTGTTGTTGGCCACTCCGAAGTAGGTATCGTCGGAGCTTTTGAGCACATAGGAGGCGTTGTGCTGGTAGTAAGAGGAGGAGCAAGAGCAGTTGACGGGCACGAGTATGAGCGTGTCCGTGGGAATGGGCTGAACATCGGAGATGTTGTTGGCTGCAGCGATGCGGGTGGGTTCGGAGCCCAGCAGGTAGGCGATGGAGGTCGGGGAGTTGTAATAAGGAGGGATGGAACGGAAGGTGAGGTAGGAGAGGCATGACGATGCGACGCCGTTGCAGACATAGCCGTCGGTGGTGTTGTAGTGGTTGTAGCAGTCGAGCTGTTTGTTGTCCACATAACTCTGCTGCCCTTGCACTTTAATCAAGATAAACACCACCACCACCACTACCATCCAATTCATCTTCAAAGGAATGGCTAAAGCTATAAACACAAACAAAATTCTTCATAATTTTCTGAGAGGCACCGTGAGGCCTCAATTATACAACCATTCAACGCGTCTTTAGTTGACCACTTGACAACCTTTATTTATTTATTTATTTTCATTTGACCTTAAAAGTCAGTCAGTCCACTCTTCAAACCCATCATTTTGATTTCTGCCAACCATTACCATTTTGGTTTCTTACTCCGTCGTCATGAGACCATGCCCATGCGTACAAAATGGGCTCCTCCCTCCCTTTCCCTTGTGATTTTCTCACTTGAATATCTTCCAAATGTTCTTCAAATTTGATTTCACTTATTAAGGTATATAATGGTCTCTTAGAGCTAGGATTTAGATTTTAGCCCAAAATTTGATACTTAAAACCTAAAATCGAAGCGATTAACCAATCCACTAATCCAATATTTGAAACCTAAAATATAAGGTTAATTGTTGTTGAGGCCCAAAAAATCCAAGGCTAGGCCCAATCATATTCTCGGCCTAGTGCAACACCTTACTGAGTGGAAACCCGATTTGGGTATGCTAAAGTTCATCGTATGCTCTCGCACAAATCATGATCCATGTGCCATGTAAAGTAAATATGTAACCCGTCACGCTAAGCGTTGTAACGAACTTGTAAAATGTACTAGCTCTATGAACTCATGCTTATTACCCCGTTAAAAGTCATTTTGACTCGACCATAGCCCTTTAACATGCAATGCCAAGAGCAAAACCCTTATTCTGCACCTAGCCATGCTACAAGCTTAAGTGAGCCCAAGCCACGTAAAGGCTCAAGGCTTGCTGAGTGGGTTGTGGTATAAATGGTTACTACAATTCATGAGGCCCATTGATGAGCCAAAAAGTGGAAGTTTTGAGCTGCTTGGGAGTCCTAAAACGCGAGCCCATTTCTTGAGCCCAAATATGTGGGTAAGCATGAAAGAGAGGAAAAATAACCCATCACCTCAGAAAAGATAGCCCATCCCCTTAGTAAATTAGCCCATCACCTTAAGGAGTGGCTCAAGCAACTTAGAAAATATCTGAAAGTCTCCAGCACATGGCCAGAGACAAAACCACGACAGACCATCTGAAAAAACCAAAGGATACTTGCGTGTGCAGGTTGCTAGGAGCAAAACACTCTTCAGATCAACACTATTAGCCATTTTTTTCCCCTACCAGCTCTTCCCATAAAATAAGGGAGGAAAGAAGGAGAGAGTGTAACATCCCACATCAACCAACAGAGAGGGGGTGATGTGCCTTATATGTACATGTCCGCATCTATCTAGTACAAAGCCTTTTAGGAGCTCACTAACTTTGGAGTCATGGGAACTCTGAAGTTAAGTGAGTTGGGGTTAGAGGAATCTCAGGATGGGTGACCCACTAGGAAGTTGCTCTTGAGTTCTCAGAAACAAAACTGCGAAGGCAGAGAGGGGCCCAAAAAGGACAATATCGTGCTATGGCGGAGCCGATCTCGGGATGTGACAGAGAGTGATTGCCATAGGGACAGCTGCGGAAAGACTCTAGAGCTCCCTAAAATCTTGTCTCTGTGTATTTGGATTAAAGGGATTTCACAAAATAGGGATGAATCAAAGGAAGAGAATAGGAATTGAGGGGGAGACTTAGCAGATTTGGGAAAAACCAACTAGGGTTTCTTGGGAAGAAGGAGTTTTCAACGCCTATAAAAAGGGGCATCTCCTACCTATCATTTGAACCACATCCAGAGAAAGCAAGCATCCCCTCTCACTACTGGAACTCTTCAATTTCGAGCTTTGTTATTCCATTTCTTCCCTTTTTCTCTTCTGGCAAAACACTTAAGAGTGTGACGAAGCTTTCGTCAAGCCGTTGGAAGATTTGCTCAAGCCACCCATTCTTTCACCCTCATCTTTTCCTATCTTCCCTCAACAAATCCTTTCAAAACTCCCTCTTCCCTTACTTTAAACCCCTGTTTCTCATAAGAAATCCAAGACTTCTCTCTCTAATGCTAAACTCATGAATGCTCAGTTTCCATGCCGCAAGCTTCTCAAGCTAAGCCAAAGTATTTATTTGTAAGCAACTATTAATTTTGTTGGTGAAGGAAACCAATGTGTTTCCTAAGGCTTCATGAACACTTCGAAACACTCTTGGGGCCTAATTCTTGAACTCAGACACATGGGCAACTCCACCCATTTGCTCTTTACAACAGTCTAGGCTCATCTGTAGCTATTGAAACAAAAAAGCCCCTATAATCGTTTTATTAGTCCTTGAACTTAGAACTAATTTGCATTTGAGTCCCTCAATCTCCAAAATCGTTCCCGTGGTCATTTAACTTCACTTTTGTTAGAACAAATGGTCCTACCATCAATTTTGTTAACTTTTTCTGTTAAATACAAGGGTAAAATGATATTTTATATTAAAAAAAACTTTAACAATATTTTTTTTATAAAAAAAATAAAGTTTGTGGGAAGTAGAAATCGAGATAGAGGGGGAGAGAGAGAGTTTAATTTTAATTTTATAATTTTTATAATTTTTTATTCATATTTTAATCAATTTAATACAAAAATATCATTTTGCCAATGCATTTAAAAATTAACAAAATTGACGGCAAAACTATTTGTCCTAACGAAACTGAAGTTGAAGGACCACGGAAACAATTTGGAAATTGACGGACTCAAATACAAATCGGGTCTAAATTTATTGACTAATAAAACGATTAACCCTAAAATATAAGTTATAAATGATAACATCGGTTCCCTTTTTGCATCTTCATCACTCTAACACCCTACTAACTTGAACAATGAACAGCATAAA